ACCTCGTCGGTGGCTCCGTCTCCGTTCCCGGCTCCTCCTTCAGGGCCTTCTTCGAGGACCGCGTCGCGCAGCTGGTCGACCTGGCCAACTTTGGCAGCTTTGGCAAGGTGACTTGCCTGTTGAGGGAGATTTGGCTCCAGAGCGAGGTCATCAGCCGGGCTTCGTCTCCTGGCTCCAACAACGAGGAGGTGCAGCAGCAGCAGCCACCCGCGTACATCCACTGGAGGGATGTGATGCAGATGAAGGGGTGGGATTACCTTCTCATTTAAAACATTTTTTTACTTTCGCATTTTTCTTTTGATAGGAAAGACAAACCACCGCGAGGTGTCTTTTTTTGGGGGACAGAGAGACAGGGGGGACGACAGCACTCATCACTGGATCATGGGGCACAACAACATTAACCTTCCTTCCTTCCGGGACTGGAAAGGAACGGTTTTTCTTCTTTTCTACTTTATTTTCTTTCACTTTTGGCATGTGGATAATTGGGATTATGTGGGATTGGAAATGATATTTTGGATACCCCTCTGGAAAGGAAAGCATGATACCTGGAGTTTTTTTTTTTTGGGAGGTTTTATATACCATTGGGTTATCTATTTGTGTGTTGAAAGATGATACATGGCATATCATGAAGGGGTTGGGTGTCGCGGGAAAGGGGAAGAGGAATCTTACATTGAATTTGCGACACCTGGGGAAGAAGAGGAAGAGCAAAAAAGCTCAAAAATGAATAAAAAACAAGAGAATAAATTTTTAAAAATTATGGCAATGATGATCGGGATGGTTGATCATGTGACTGCTTGTACTCTTACCGGAAGCCACACTTGCTGGCAAACAAACCTCTCTGCTTCCCCCTGTTCCCTTCCAAACTTGGAGAAATTGGTCCAAGATGTATAATAGGTAAGTACCTAAGCAGCGAATGTTCAACCACGTTGACTCAGCTCCTTCTGGTGTTCTTTACCATCAGGAAAGTTCAAAACCTTGTTTCTCACTCATGACCTCCAACTCTCATCAGCAACAGTCAACCCATTCTCGATCCATCAGATTTTCCAAAATGTGAATAAGTATAAAACGGCAAAAGACTTGAATTCTTTCGACTCCCATCATCAACTCCCATCATCAAAACAGCTCGCTCACCTAACAACCGGCGTAAGCCTCACATTGACAGCCCCCTTCTCCCAGAGCACATAAATCCTCTGCTTATTCCACTCCTCACTCTCCGGCATCAACTCCAAGTCGAAATTCCACAACAACCTCGCCATGATCAACCTCATCTCAGCATACGCCAAATTCCTCCCAATACAATTCCTCGGCCCGACCGAAAAAGGCTGCAGCACCCCCCGCACATCATCAGCATATCTCGGGTCGCCGAGCCAGCGTTCGGGAACAAATTTCTGAGGATCGCGAAAGTTGGAAGAGGATTGGTACGAGGCCCATTGAGGGACTGCTACTGATGTCTGTGTTTGCTCAAGAGTCAATTGGCTGGACACAAGGGGGGGGGGGAGGTTCGTTTTGCTTACATTACCGGGAATCCAATACCCTTCTATATACTCCCCTTTGGGGGAACCCGTCTCGGCAAAGCGAGCGGTGTAGGGGGATCTATTTCCATCAGCACCACCACCACTAATTTTGAGATGAAGAAAAACTTACACATCCTAAACCCCTCCTCCAAAACCGCCTCCAAATACTCCAACCCTCCCACCGCCACCAAATCAATCTCGTCCTCCCTGCCAAACCTCCCCCTAATCTCCTTGACCAGTTTGTCATACTTGTCCCTGTTCTTCAACAACCAAAACGTCGTCCCGCTCAGCTGCGTAGCAGTAGTCTCACTCCCAGCGATAATAAGCAAACTACTATTCTCTATAATCTCCCCCTCGCTCATCCCCTTCTCGTCATTATGCCTCAGGATATAGCTCATGAAGTCCCCCCTTTCCGTCCCCCCTGCCTCGAGCCGTTTCTTGGCTGTCTTCTCGCTCAACGCCCGGTGCTCCTTTTGGCTTTGTACCAGGTGCTTAGGCAAGAGGAATGTCTTGAGACAGCCGAGAAAAGGGTGGCGACGGAGAACCTCGAAAAACACGCCGAGCTTGATGTTGGAGAAGATGAGGGATACCCAGGGGTGGTAGGCGGCTGAATCGAGACAGTTGAAGGGCTGACCAAAGGCGAGGTCGCCGATCAGGTCAAAGGTGGTGAAGTTGAACCACTGGACTATGTCGACTGCTACGTTTGCGTTGGCTTTGGCGGTGAGCTTGGTGATGAGGAGGGTGACGTAGTGGTTCAGGATGTCCTCTTGGGCGCGGAAGGCTTTTTCGGAAAAG